AATCAGTCCTTATACAGCAATTTCATTTCTACCTAAACATTACTCTTCAGTTTTCATGAGTAATTCTTATGTATTTTTTACTTTGAACTCAGAGGGACGCTGTTGACCAGGATGTATCAGTTCGTCGCTGATGTGTAGTAGTACCTCCCATCATCTCCTTCTATTTTGTCGAGAAGCACAGCTGAGAGATTCAATAAAAAACCGTTTGTGGGGATGTAACCGAACGCAGATACATAAACCTTGGGCTTTCTGTTACGGATTTCTGTTCAGTTAACGTGAATCGGGACAAAGGGTTTACATATGGATATTTTGATGATGGCAGGAATAACAGCGAGACGGCAAGTACTATTGTTCATTTCGGTCCTCTCCCTCAGTGCAGCTGTCGGACAGGTCAGCTACTCTATTCCTGAGGAAATGGCGAAAGGCTCTTTCGTTGGTAACATAGCTCAGGATTTAGGTTTAGACATCCAAAGACTGAAATCCGGCAGGGCTCGGGTTTTTACTCGAGACAACACAGCTTACATCGAGCTAAACAGCGAAAGGGGAATTCTCCTACTTAAAGAAAGGATAGACAGGGAGGCGCTGTGTGGACAAATGACGCCTTGCGCTTTACATTTTCAGATTTTATTAGAAAATCCGATGGAATTTTATAGTGTCACTGTTGAAATCACAGATATAAATGACAATCCTCCGACTTTCATCACGAACGAGGCACATTTTAATATAAGCGAATCTGCGCTGAGTGGCACAGCATTCGTTTTAGATCGGGCGACCGATCTTGATGTGGGCGAAAATAGTTTAAAAGCATATGCTCTTAAACCAAGTGATATATTTTCTCTGAAAATAAATAATCAGGGACAGGGTAGTAAAAACGTGGAGATGGTTCTGAATGCACCGCTGGACAGAGAGAAAAATGAACACCTACGTTTGGTTCTGACGGCGGTGGATGGTGGCGAGCCGCGGATGACTGGAACGATGCAGATTCACATTAATGTTTTAGACGCTAATGACAATGCTCCCGTTTTTACACAGCCCGTTTATAAAGCATTTATAAAGGAAAATGCACCAGTCGGAACTGTTGTAGGGACAGTTACTGCAACTGATGCAGATGACGGGTCTAATGGCAGAATAACTTATTCAATTTCAGCTATGCTAGATCATGCCTATGGTATTTTTGAAATCAATAAAAGAAGCGGTGAGGTCACTTTGATTGGAAAGGTTGATTATGAGAAAACCAGAACTTTTCAGATTAATGTTCGAGCGAGTGATGACGGAGGTTTAAGTGGTTCATGCAAATTAATAGCTGATGTAATAGACACGAATGACAACCGCCCCGAGATTCATATCATGTCTAAATCAAATGTTATATCAGAAGATGCGAAGCCTAACACCGTTGTAACAATGATAAATGTAGAAGATGCAGATTCATCTGAAAATGGAAAAGTGCAATGCGACATCAATGACAGTAATAGTTTCATATTGAAGTCAGTTTCAGAAAAATTCTATAGTTTGATGACAGACAGTGATTTAGACAGAGAGAGAGCCTCTGAGTATAACATCACTGTGACCTGCTCTGATGAGGGAGTGCCCTCCCTCTCCAGCAGCGTCACTCTCACCTTACAGATCTCAGACGT